GCCCTCTGTGCCGCTCCGCCCGCCGGCCCATCCGGAGGGGCCGGCCCATCCAGAGGAGGGTCTGCGCCAGGGCTGCCTCCTAGGCTCCGGAGGCACCAGGGGGCGCCTGGGGCGCATGAGCAGGCGCCCCTTCCCGAGGAGCCCCGGACGGCCGCGCACCGGGCAGGGCGAGGGCGAAGGTGGGCCCGCAGCACGTGGAGGGGCCGGGTCGGCCCGCGGCGCTGTGCGCGGGCAGGAGTGCCTGGAGACACGGGGCTCGGTGGGCTAGGGGCCACACAGCCGTCCGCCCGGACCCGTTGGGAGAGGCCCGGTCTGCCCCTTGGCAGGGCCCGGTTGGCTAGTGAAGGCGCCTCTTCCCTGGGCAGCGCGAGAAGCGAAGTTGGGGGGCGATGCAGAGGGGAGCTGTAGGCCGTCCCTCAGCCCTTCCCTCTTGGGGAGGTGTCTTCCCCAGGCAAGTGCACCGAGGCTGCCAGGGAGGGGACGGGAATAGGCGAGGCCCGAGGCGCGGGAGGCGTCGGCGCCAGGATGCCACTGCTGGGAGGCAGGCGTGGGGGCAGAGGTCGCGCCTCCCTGGCCGGGCCGAGAAGCCTGAAGAGCTGTTGACTGCTTGCTGCAGTGGGGCGGTGGCCCGCGGGGCTCCTCGTTCGCTCCCAGAGTAGAGCAGGTAGGGGTACACGCCAGTGCCCAGGGATTGCGGGGCAATGGGAGCGCAGAAGCGGTTCCTAGGGAAGGGGCAGTGCCCGGAAGGTGTTCAGTGTCAGTTGCCAGCGCCCGAGTAAAAGGGGCAGCGCGAGGGAGGAGCAGCCCAGCGTGCAGGGACACGGGGATCAATGCCCAGAAGGAGCGAGTCGGGTGGGGGAGCGAGCGGTACCAAGTCGAAGGGACAGTGTAGGCTTTTCTCTTCTCTACAGTGACATCATGGCAAATTCCCAAACCGGACCGACCCGGCTCGGTGACGTCCAGCAGGGCCAGGCTGGCCTGGACCGGCCCCGGGTGCCTTGCTGCCAGCTGGAGGGTCTGAGCATCAGGCCCTGCGACTCAGACCCTGGAGTTCTGCTTCATCCGCCCCCGGCGCGGACTGTGCCCTAGGCGGGCACGCAGACAGGCAGGGCTGGGCTAGGGCCGGGCTTCCGCGGGGCAAGGATCAAGGTCCCGGCCGGGAGAGGCCGCCACGCATTTCAGCTTTCCCGACCGGACTCTGAAGAGGGCGCAGTAGAGCCCCAGAGGAGCGCGACAACGAGCGCCGCCTCCGCCGCAGGTGGGGCCTGGACCATCCCCGCCCTGGGCGGAGTCATCAGCGCCTGGGACCCGCCCGCCGCGCGCAGGCTTCGGAGCCGTCTGTAGGGGCGGAAGGGAAGAGACCCGAGAGGGAGGCGGCGACGGAAGTGGCTGCATTACTGGCGCTCGGGGCGCATGCGCCATTGCGCTCCCTCGCGGTGGCTCTTCGGTGAGCTCTCCGCGTTTCTCCGCCCGAAGGTCGGGCTCCATAGCTACTTCTGTTCTCGTGGCCTCTTACGATGGCAGGCATCCTGTTTGAGGATATTTTCGATGTGAAAGATATTGACCCAGAAGGCAAGAAGTTTGACCGAGGTAAGTGAGGGGTTGGGGCACGACCCTGGCCTCCTGTCCCCGGATCACGTGCGGGCGCGACCTTCCCCTGCAAATATGGACTGGAAAGCCGGGACTCGGAGCTGGTGCGTCGGTGGACTTTAGCTGTTGTTCCGCCAAGCTCCTGGGCATCTGTAATTGCTACCTGTTCTGTGTTAGGCGCTGCGCTGTGCGCGTGTGCGTACTTTGCCATATTCCAGGGGCCCCCCTGAGGTAGGTAATAGTGTCTTACCAGTTTTGTTTCGAAGAGGTTAAATACTAAAAACCTCGACTATACAGAGGGGTTGGGCTTGTAGTTCAGTGGTATAAAGCGCATGCCTAACCTTCATGACGCCCTAAAGAGAAAAACAGCTGGGTGTGGTGACGCTCGCCTGTAATCCCAGCACTTGGGAAGCTGAGGCAGGAGAATCATTTCGAGTTCAAGACCAGCCTGGGTTACAAAGTGATCTCAAGGCCAGTCTGAGCTTCATAGGAAAACAGAGAGAGAGAGAGACAGAGAGACAGAGAGACAGAGACAGAGTCAGTTATCGAACTTCCTAACCTATATCTTGTTTTGTCCTCGAAGTCTTTAAATTTATGAAGTCGTCTCAGAGGTAGCTGGCCTTTTTCTTTTCTTTCTTTCTTTCTTTCTTTCTTTTTTTTTGTTTGGAGACAGAGTCCCACTGTGCAATACAGGCTGGTCTTGAGCTCACTTTGTAGCCCAGGCTGGTCTTGAACTCATAATGATCCTCCTGCCTCAGCATCCCAAGTGCTGGGATTACAGTCATGGTGGTTGTAGGCCTGAGCCGTCAAGCCAGCTAGCTGGTTTGCATATAAGGAGCTATGGAACAATACTAAGTGTATCGGGAGTTGTTTTTTTTTTTTGCGGAATTTGGGATTGAACGCAGGACCTTGCACTCGCCAGGCAAGCGCTTATTCTACTGAGCTATCTCCCCGGCTCTCAGGGAACTTTTCATTACAGTAGGAGACATATTGCCATCAGTCGCCCTTAGAACACTCTTTGAACACCTTATCCCGAGGTTCTCGCCACTCTCTGAAGCAGTGCTGATAGTCCCGCTGTTGGGTGTCTTTTTGAGCTGTGAGGAATGCTGCCACTGAGTGCCATCCAGCCAGAGGCAGGCTGGTGAAAACAGTGTGTCCTCGTCTACCGGATCTGGCGCTGTGGGGCAGCTGGCTCTTCCCCAAAGTCAAAATGACCATGAAAGATAAACGTTTTGAATCAATTGAGGACATCGAGACATGGCCACATTGGAGCAACTAAAGATACAAAAGCAGACTTCACAGCTGCTTCAGAAAATATCAAGAACAACGGGCTAAGTGTTTGGAGTGAGGGGGAGTGTCTTGAGGGGGATTAATGGCATGTGTCTTACTGTAATAAATTTTAAAAAATTTATTGCACCTCCTATAACTTGTACTTTTGATTGTTAAATTGTTTTTCTTTGGTGGCACTTTCTTTGTGTGGAGAAAGATGTGTTTTTCAAGACAGACATTGGTCTTTTTTATTTTTTTTCTGAGCTAGGGTCTCACTGTAGTTCAGGCTGGCCTTGAATTCATTATGAAGCCTGTTCCAGTCTTGGACTCGTAGCAGTCCTCCTGCCTCCACCTCCAAAGTGCTAGGATTACAGGTGTGTACCACAGCTCCTGGCTCAGACATCAGTTCTTAAACATCCTGATAATCCCTTTACCGTAGTGCCTAGAAAATAGTGCTGGACATGGAGGCACATACCTGTAATCTCAGCACTCAGGGAGGCTGAGGCAGGAGGATTGTTGCAAATTTGAAACCATCCTGGGCTACAAAGTGAGCTCAAGCCCAGCCTGAGCTGCGTAGAGAGACCTTGTCTCAAAAAGCCAAGAAAGGGCTGGCCAAATAGCTCAGCAGATTAAAGCACCTGCTTAGGCACATGCAGCAGCCAGGGCTCCATCTCTCCTGTGCTGTGCTACCCACCCATACTGAGACAGATTGAGACTGGGCATGGTGGCACACGCCTGTCATCCTACCTCTTGGGAGGGGAGGCTGAACACAGGTGGATCACTAGGAGTCCGATAAGTGAGACCCTGTAGAACCTTTACTAAAAAAAAGTGGGGACTGGCCAAATAGCTCAGCGGATTAAAGTACTTGCAAGCAGGCACAGCGACCTGAGGTTCGATCCCCGGGCCTGCCAAACTGGCCCGGGCACGGTGGCACGTGCCTGTAATCCCAGCACTTTGGAAGGTGTAAACAGGTGAATCACTACCAGTCCAATCTAGTAGTGAGATCCTGAACACCCTGTAGACCCTTCCCTAAAATATAAATAAAATACAAAAAAAAAGGAGAAAAAAGCTCATTGCCCTTATTTTCCTAACGACCCTGATGTTATGCCTGTCATTTTCTCTGTATTTCTCAGTGTCTCGCCTGCACTGTGAGAGTGAATCTTTCAAGATGGACCTCATCTTAGATGTAAACATTCAGATTTACCCTGTAGACTTGGGTAAGTGTTGAACACAGACAACAGCAAGCTTCTTTAACCGCTTTGTAATTTTGGCTCTTCAGCCTGAGATGATGTTGATGCTTCCAGGTGACAAGTTCCGATTGGTTATAGCTAGCACCTTGTATGAAGATGGTACCCTTGATGACGGTGAATACAACCCCACAGATGACAGGCCTTCCAGGTGAGGGGCTGGAGAAGAGAGTGAAGTGTGCCCTGAACATTAAGTAGCCAACTGGTCTAGAAAGGCGATTGTTTGATTTATTTTTGGAGGCAGGATCTTGCTGCGTAGTACAGGCTGCCCTTGAACTCACTATGTAGCCTAATCTGACCTTGAACTCATGACCATCATGCTACTGTAGATCCCCAAGTGCTAGGATATAGGCATGTGCCACCATGCCTGACTGTTAGTGTTTTCTGTGTATTTGCTTTTGTGCTGCTGGAGGTGTAAACTAGGACCTCACCCATGTACTCTGCCATTGAAGTACATCCCCAGGCCTAGAAATACTTTCATTTAGGGCGGGGGAGATAGCTCAGCTGCATAAGAGCTTGCCTGGCAAGCTCAAGGTCCTGAGTTTGATCCCTGGTACTGCAACAAAACAGAACAAAAAACACCAGAGAGCAAATCAAAACCCTTTAATTCCTAGAATAAGTGATTATCAGCAGAGTTTGAATTATGTTAAGGAATTATTGCATTTAAGAAAACAAACAGCTAGGAAGATGGGAGGCAAGGAGATGCAAGGGGAAGTAAGATGAGTGTTGGGTAATTATACCAGTTTCTCACAATGAATGTCTTTTTTTTTTTTTTTTTTTTGAGACAGGGTTTTCCTATGCAGTTCAGGCTGGCCTTGAACCTCACTTTGTAGCCTGGGCTGGCCTTGAACTTGCAGCAATCCTCCTGCCTCAGTCTGCTGAGCTCTGGGATTACAGGTGTGTGCCACTGTGCCCGGCCTGAATGCCATTACTGTGGTCTGCAAACATGCTAATAATAAATTTAACAAAAACAGAAGAAATCACGCAACCAGGTATTTATTGAGAAAGTTGATAACATGCTTGCAAATCGCAGCTTTTTGAAGATTGAGGAAGTGGCCACTTGAGCGACCAAGGCTGTGTGACCCAAGCTCCTAGGGTTGTTATGAGGACTGACGTTTCTCCATTGCCTGTTGGTGTGGTGCTGGCACTTACTTGCTAGCTTCTCTTTTATTTTTTACTTATATGTTAAAATATTTTTCTTTCGTGGTTCTGATAATTGAATCCCTGCAGGGTCCTGTACTTGCTAGGTAAGCAGTCTACCACTAAGCTACATCCACAACTCTTTAAAAATTTTCATTTTGAGTCAAGGGCTTGCTAAATTGCCCTGGCTGGCCTTGAACTTGTGATCCTCCTGCCTTAGCCTCCTGAGTAGCTGGGATTACAGGTGTGTGTCAGCATGCCTGGCCTGTTACCATTCATAACGGGCCCCTTGACACTGTTAATTATTATGAAGTATAACTGTGCTCAGTTTTTCCACAGGGCTGACCAGTTTGAGTATGTAATGTATGGGAAAGTATACAAGATCGAGGGCGACGAGACATCTACTGAAGCAGCAACACGCCTGTAAGTTCCGCAGTCCGGTGAGAATTCCTTTCCCCTCCCTGTCCTGGAAGTTTGAGCCGAGCTCCTGTGACTGCACTGAGTCCTCCTGAAGCACCTTAGAGGTAGGGCCACATTGGAAAGGGGACTGCTTTGGGGACAGTTTCCAGAGTGAGGTCCTGGCTGCGCCCCTGTCCTCTATCAGGATCTCAGGTAATCTCGCTGTGCCAAGTACAGAGGAGGGAGGACTTCTCTGGAAACTCCATGCAGCATTAAGCCATTAAACTGCTAAGCCTTTTGCTTTTTGTTTATCTGTGTGTGTGTTTTGCTACTCTGTAACCCCATTTGCCCAGCTATTTTTTCCGTGAAACTTTATTGAAGCAATGTGTGTTTTTTTGTAAGAAATTGAGCAACAGAAAAGTAATGCAAAAAAGAAAAAGTCACCTATAATTCCATGCATGGAGGAAATTTTATGCATAAACATTTTTGAATATATTCTACATTTTTTTTTTTTTTTAATAACCAAGGTTCTTACATAAGTTAGGTAAGTACTTTGCCAGCGAGCCACACTCCTAGCTCTTTTTCTTTTTTTGTATTTTAGGGAAGGGTCTACAGGGTGTTCAGGGTCTCACTATTAGATCGGACTCCTGGTGGGAGTCCACCTGTTCACAGCCTCCCAAGAGCTGGGATTACAGCTGTACGCCACAACGCCCAGTCACCATTGCTGTCAGCGTGCCCCAGAGGGTGGGGCCTGAACTCCAGGCCCCTGCACCTTCTTACAGGTGCTTTAATCTGTTGAGCTATTTGGCTGGCCCTAAAAGTTGAGAAGGAACTTTTTCTTTTTTTTTGGCTGGCCCAGGCTGCCTTAATGGCATGTCTGGTAAGGCATGTGGAGCTGGGGATTGAACCGCAGTATCCTGCGCCTGACTGCATGTGCACAAGCAGATGCTTAAACAACTGAGCTAACCCGCAAGCCCTTTTTTTATCTTTTGAGACCGGGTCTTGCTAAGTTACCCAAGCAGGCCTCAGACTTGTAGTCCTCCTTTCTCAGCCTCTGAAGTAGCTAGAATGACCAGCGTGTGACCCATGTGCAACATTCTGACTTTTTGTCTTTTTCTTTGAGATCATGTTCTTGACAGTGTTTTCTATTTTTGCTTACTCTTTGTAAAAAATATTTCTCTGTGTTAGTAAAGCTTTTCCTGGGGCTGGTGAGATGGCTCAGTGGTCTAAAGCACCTACTTAGAACATGCTAAGCTAAGCAAAGCACAGGGACCGCGGTTCAATCCCCCAGCACCACATGCCAGACAGCCCCGCCCCCTGGTGGGCTGAGCTGGCCACACACACACACAAAATAAATAACTAAAAAAAAAAAATAATAATAAAATAAAGCTTTTCCTAAACATTGTCATAGCTCTATCATAATTGATTTAACCATTCTCCTAATTTTGGGTGGGTTCTTTTCCACCTTTGCTAATATAAAACACCACTGTGCATTTTTTTTTTTTTTTTTTTTTGGCGGAACTGGGATTGAACTCAGGCCCTTGCACTTGCCAGGCAAGCACTTATTCTACTAAGCTATCTCCCCAGCCCCTGTGCATACATCTTGTCTGAATTTTTTTTTTCGTGGCCGGCTCAAACTTGCCTTGGGGGTCGGGCTGGTGCTGCTTGTGGTGCCAAGAATCGAACTGCGGGCCCTGTGCTTCCTAAGCTTGCCTAAGCAGGCACCTTAAACCACTGAGCTATCTCACCAGCCCATTGTCTAAATTTTTAGCCCTCCCCCCCTGTTTGTTTTGAGAGGGTGTCTCATTGTGCGGGCTGGCCTTGCACTCCCTGTGTAGCACAGGCAGGCCTGGAACTCATGACAGTCCTGCCTCAGCCTCCTGAGCGCTGGGATTACAGGTGTGCACCACCACACCTGGCTCGAATTTCTAGCTCTGTTGATGACCGCCTCTGGACAGTGCCGCCTTTCTCACTGGGATGGAAAGCGCGGCTGCTTCAGAGCTCACACACGGTGAGGTCTCTTTCAGCTCTGCCTATGTGTCCTACGGGGGCCTGCTTATGAGGCTACAGGGTGATGCCAATAACCTGCACGGCTTCGAGGTGGATTCCAGAGTTTATCTGCTGATGAAGAAACTGGCCTTCTGAGCCTCGTGGGAAGCCAACGTTGCTGCTGGGTCACCCAGGTCATGGACACTGAAGCCCGAGTAGAAGTTGCTGTGGTCCCTGCGGAGGAAGGACTGGCTCTGTCTGCAGTGGTGCACCTTCAGAGACTCACTTGGCCAGTGGAAGACCTACTGGGGGAGCTGAAAATGAATCAAGTCATTTTGTGGATGTGTTTTTTAAATTAAAACCTCACTTTTTCAGATGGTTCCCTTCCCCTTTAAAAAATTTCCATTTTCTTTAAAATAATTTTTTCCAATTTGTCAATGGTGTGATTCTGACACACAACCAGATGATCATGTATGACAGACCATGGCCCAGGCTTCTGGTATCTGGGTTTGGGGTTACTTCCTTCTCCTGGCCGACTCTTCCCCACGTTTACCCTTTGGTGTGGTGTTTGATCTGGGAGAAAGTGCTGTGCTGTGCTGTGCTCCCGAGGATGGTACCCCAGGCCCGGAAGGTGCTACCCAGCTGGCACAGTTGGCCTGGCACGGAGCCCTGCTCACGTCCTTCCCATACGCTCTCTTAGCAGTCAGTTCACGTTGGCGTGAATGAGTCGCGTAGCCTGGGAGGCTCATTTATATGGAAGCTTCGGGTGGAGGCTTTTAGATACGGGAATGGAATTGACTGATGAGGAAGGAAGGGGACTTGGTGGCTCTCTGGAGGTGGGCAGAGGAGCTGTTTCTGCTCTCCTGGGGTGATCTGGAAGGCAGGCGAAGTGGTGTCTGTTCTTAGTGGTGGCACCAGATGGGGGGCCGCTGCATAGAGCCGTGAAGTAGACGGGGCAGCAATGCCAATGAGGTTGGCAGGCCAGCCCCAGTGCCCAGGAATGCCCCAGCCTTACCATAGTCACTAACTTACAAGCAGGAAAAGGAACAGGGAAATGCTCAAGGACTGCAGTGTGAGTTGGCTCTTCCACCTGGCATTTGAGTTCTCTGGGAAAGCGGGTGACCTCCCCCAGGGAGGTCAAGGTGATAACCCAGAAAGCCTCTGTGAAGCAGTTGTTCCTCTTGATACCCTGGTTGTGCTTGGGGAGCGGGTCCTCCTGCTGGGATACCTGTGGTGTTTCCTTCCCCATCATTTTCAGGTCTTCACAGGAGATGTTAGAAGTAGTATTTAGGGAAATGGATTGAAAATGAATGGCCTCAGCAGGGAAGAGGAAAGATTTCTTTACCTTACCACAGGCGGTGGGGGTGGGGGGGAGGTGATGCGTGGGGGTTGGAGTGAGTTTTTAGACTCTTAAGCTTTTTCTTGGGTCACGCCTTGAGGACTTGGAAGAGGATGGATTTGGATTAGGTGTGAGAACCTAATACCTGTAATAGTTGTAGGCTATCATAGCAGATTTTGGCTGGCCTAGGGCGGCTAAAGAACTGGTATAAAGCAGAATAGGGATGAGTGTTCTGGTTGTGATTTGTGTGAACACGCGCGCGTGTGTGTAGGGCTCAAACCCAGGGCCTCACACCTACTAGGCAAGCACTCAACTACTGAGCTACATCTCACTCCAGGTTAGATTCTTTTTTTTTTTTGTTTTGTTTAGATTCTTAATAGGAGCAGACTCAGTCACACTGGAGCAGCCCAAGAGTTTATTTGCTTGTGCCCCGAGTTGGAGTAAGACCCTGCTGTCGGATGCCTGGAACTGGCTGCGTTTTCAGTTTTGCAGCCCTGGCCTTGTCCAGCTGTCAGGAGAGCCTATAATTCTGTGGTCTCTGACATCTTGTTCTGGATGTTGGTGCTTTCTATGGGGTGAAGTGTTTCATTTGGTTATTCTTTTTGTTCCCAGGTGTGTGTGTGTGTGTGTGTGTGTGTGTGTACCAGGGATGGAACTCAAGACCTCACACTTGCCAGGCAGGTGCTTATGCTGCTGAGCTGTATCCCCAGCCCGTATTAAATTCTTTTTGACCTACATCAATAGTTCAAGAAGTTGCACTTTGCAGTTGCCGTTCCCTCCACACTAGAATTTGTAGTGTGGATGAACTATTTTTTTCCTACTGACACCATTAGAGATTTGGAGAGCACTTGGAGCTTTGTGTGTCTGGGTTTTGTTTGGTTGGTTTTTTTCTTCAGTGCTGGGGATTAAACGAAGGGCCTCATGGGCTAGGCAGTTGGGCGCCCTGAGCCGTGCCTCCAGCTGCATTTTTGATGCCTTCTCCCAGGTAACTGCCCATGAAGGAAGAGATCCAGATTGGCCGCCCCACCAGGAACTTTGGTGTTCTGCTTGGAACTCTGCAGTTGTTGGTGTGTTACTCCCTACAGACTTGGGACTATCCCAGTAATCAGAATCCGTGAATGATTTGGTTCCACACCAGGGAAGAATGTGGGCCTGAGAGTGTGACAAGGAATTTCTTGCTTGGAGGCTGCGTGACCACTGGGGACTTGCTTGACTTCAGTGAGCCTGTTTCCTCATTAGTAAAATAGAAACAGTCATACCTAAGATAGCGAATACCTCCCTTACAAAGTTGTGTGTGTGTGTTGAAAGGGGAATATATATATATATATGATTTCTGATGTTCACCCAGCTGTTTTGGGGTACCCTGAGGGATCCTGGGGGGGGGCGGTGAGGCTCTGGGTTTCTGGGTTCTCTCAACATATGTGGTAACTTTTCCTCCTTCATTGGGGGCTGGGGTGAGGGAAAGTCTCCCCCTAGGTTCCTACAGGAACTCGGGCCAGAAAGCGGACTTGCAGTGAAGTTCAGCCTGCCTTTCTTCCATCCCCCATGGACAACGAGGCTGCGTTTTCCGTGACCTTGTGGGGATGGGGAATGGCCTTCAGCTTGTTCTGGTGCCTGCCCTGCTGCGTCAGCTCGAGGAGCCCGACGCGTGCCGCTTCCTGCACTTCCCCCGGCCTCCACAGGAGGGGGCCGGAGCCTGGGCCGGCCGAGCCTCCTGCTGCGCCGCCGCCGCCGAAGTGCCCGCTGTTTGCTCAGCTGCGGCACGCGGGTCTTCTTTACTGAAAGGTCTGCACAGCCTTACCTGGGGCACGAGGCTCTCCAGGGCTTCCTGTTAGCTTTGGGGGGCGGGGGCGGGGGCGGGGTGTTGTCTAGTCCAGTGAAGAACATCTTCGGGTTCTCTGATTTATTCTTTTCCAAGCTCAGTTTTGTATATTTATACGGGGATGGCCTTTCTGATTGACACTGGTGACTCATTTATCAAGAGGAAGTATCTCAGAAATAGAGGAGCAGACAGAGTTGCCCTAAGAAGACCCGTGAAGGGGACAGGGCAGTCGAAGGCCTTCAACTTGAAGCAAAGGAAATCACACTTTCTGTTTTCTGACACAAGGATAATCTGTTTCTGTTCAAAGGCCAGGCCAGGCCAAGCCTTTATAGGGTTATCCTGAAAAAGCACATTGGTAATTAGTGATTTGCAAAATTATACAGAAAACAAACCAAAGATAACTAGCTGCTCTGATGAATACATGTTTTCAGTGGCTTAATAAAATAGCTCTGTCCTGTGCCTCCCCCTCTGCCAGGGCTTTGGCTTGTAGGTAAAAACAGTGTGTCAGGTAGAGCTGAGTGGCTGGGCAGAGCCCTCCCCTCCCATGTGGCCATGCGTGGGTACCTCACCCTTCCTGAGACACGTTCTGGGAGTGAGGGTGGGCTGTGGTGCACAGAGGGCTGCTGGAGTTGGCTATCTCGGAAGGGTCAGGACGCTGGGCCGCAGGTGTGGGTGAGCTGGGCAGAGGAGAGGAGAGTCCAGCAGAGGGATGAGTTGGGGAAGCAGAATATCCAGGCTGGAGGCGCGGTGGCCCAAAGTCTGTGTCCAGAGTTCCTGGTGGGATGGCCGGGACTTGTAGGGCCCTGGCTGAGGCTCCAGGAAGGAGTCCGTGAGTTCCATTCAGGGGTCTGCATGTCCTGTTCAGGTGTCCAGGGGTTTGGTTTGAGGACCTGGAAGTCTGATTGAGCAGACCAGGAATCTTGGCTGTGAGTCCTTGTGGGCTCTTCAGAAGTCCAGAGCCAGTAGTGCTGGCTGAGGTACTGGAGTTCGTCTCCAGCAATGCCGAAGTCCTGTTTGGGAGCTTGTTTAGTGTGAGCAACATAGAGGGACTGCTTGGGACAGCGGCGGTGGGCAGGGCCCGCCTGGCACAGAGGGTGGGCCCTCCTACAAGCAGCAGGAAACGCACCTTTCCTCGGAGGAGCTGGTGGAAGTTCAGGAAGATGGCATTGGGGTCCTTGTGAGCTGTGGTCCTGCCCTGTGGAGGAAGCTGAGGGCAGAGGATGGGCCTGAGGCTGGAGACCAGGCCCAGACTCCCAGCCTCCCTTGACTGAAGGAAGGCAGTGCCAGCACTTAGGCCTTGTAGCTGGGCAGGAGCTTTCCTTGGTGGGTCGACTGTACCCTTACTGTCCTGGGACCCTGTTTCTCCCCTCAGGTCTCTTAGGGGGACTGAGGTGGAGAACAGTTTTCAGATTCCTTAAGTGGGGACTTACCTGGGTCCCCAGGAGGCCCTGCAGGACCCCAAGGAGGAGGCGGACCTGTCCAGAAAGCTGTCCCAGGAGGGATGAGAGGCACGTGGGTCCCAGCTGTCTCCGCGCTGCTATCACGCTCTCCAATAGAAGGGTCACTGCTCCTAGAATGTCCTGTGCTTTGCTCTGCTCCTGGGAAAGGGATGGAGAAGCGGGCTGCTTCAAAGGACGTGCTAATAGCGGGTGGGGAGCCCTGAGGGGCAGCCAGCAGAATGAATCATCAGAGCTGAGAACTGGACAGGACCGGTGCCGCCCAGCACAGGAATTCCTTCCGTTTCCGACAGTTGGCCCTCAGCCTCTGCCTCAGTGACTCAGTGTCCACCAGCCCAGCTGGCTCTCCATGTCAGCTGGTGGTTTCAGTGCCACACGTCTATACTCTTCCTGCAACCAAACCTGAGGGCTGTAGTGTTTTAAAACCAAAAATGGGAGATGTTATTGGAATGGGGCTTAATCATAAGTGGCAGGAATGGGACAGAAGTGATCCATAGGTACCTCCCTTTCCCCTGACTCAGTGCCCCTAGTGGACCTGAGGGAAGGAAGAAGATTGTGGGAGTCATGGGAATAAGAGTTGATCTGGGTCCCAAGAGAGCAGCTCAGGGTCTGTAGCTTTGTTTCTTTCCTCACTCAGCATGCTTTCTAGCCTCCGTTCAGGTGCTTCTTTCTGGACACAGGTTACTTTAATGTGGTCCCCTTAATAAATTAGCATGGGGGGGGGACGCCCAGTAGTCTGGCCCATCACATTGAGTATAGTCCTCTCAGAATAGAGTTCTCGTTGGGCGTGGTGACACATGCCTATAATCCCAGTACTCTGGGAGACTGAGGCAGGAGGATTTTGAGTTTAAACTCAGCCTGGGCAGTTCACAATTTGGCAAGATGCTGTCTCAAAAATAAAAAGTGGAGTAGGGCTGTAGGTCACTATAGAGGACCTTGGTTCAATCCCCAATGCAGAAAAACAGAGATAGAGTTCTATAGGAATTTTTTTACAATGTGGATGCTAAATTTCTGAAACAGTCAAGAATTGTCAACTTTAAAAATAACTGCTTTTGGGGGCTGGTGAGATGGCTCAGTGGTCTAAAGCACCTACTTAGAACAAGCTTAGCAAAGCAAAGGGACCACGGTTCAATCCCCCAGCACCACATGCCAGCCAGCCCCGCCCCCTGGTGGGCTGAGCTGGCCACACACACACACACACACACACACACAAATAAATTTTTTTAAAAAAGACAATGAATTAAAAAAATAAAAGTAAAAATAACTGCTTTAAGGGCTAAGGAGATGGCTCAGAATAAGCACTTGCCTGGCAAGTGCAAGAGCCTGAGTTCAATCCCTGGTTCTGCCAAATAAATGAGGGTTGGGGAGATAGCTTGGCAGAATAAATGCCTGCCTGGCAAGCACAGGGTCTCCAGTTTTTTTTTTTTTTTTTTTTTTTGTATAGGGTCTACGGGGTCTCACTATGTAGATCAGCCTCGTAGTGATCCACCTGTGTTCAGCTTGCCAAGCACTGGGATTACAGGCATCCATCATCACACCCAGTCTCAATCGCTGCCTCAGTGTGCCCCGGGGACAGGGCCAGCACAGGCATGCTGGGGATTGAACCCCAGCTGCTGTGCTCTGCCTAAGCAAGCACTTTAGTCCCATGAGTTCCTTGGCCACCCCTAGGGTCCGGAGTTTGAACTTCAGTACTGCACACCATGCTGGGCCCAGAACCATGCTGGCCCAGAAACTGGGCATGGTGACCCACACCTCTAATGCCAGTTCTGGAGAGGCAGAGCCAGGAGGATCACTACTGAACTTTGTAGTGAGAGCCTGTATCAAATAAAAACAAACAAAAAAAGGCTGGCCAAATAGCTCAGTGGATTAAAGCGCCTGCAATCAGGCACAGGAGCCAGGGGTTTGATCCCCGGGACCTCTTGTGCCGGCCCGCCCCTGGGGCAGGCTGAGCCAGCAACAGACTGGGCATGGTGGCTCCTGTAATCCCAGCTTGTGGGAGGCTGTAAGGAGGTGGATCACTCCACGTCTAGAGTCTGATCTAGTAGTGAGACCCTCAACACCCTGTAGACCCTTCCCTAAAAATATAAAAAAAACAACAAATAAATTAAAAATTACAAAATAAATAAACTTGGAAAATGGATGCACCTTGGCTGTTTTTGAGACAGGGTCTTGCTAGTGGCCCTGCACTCATGGGGAGCCTCCTGCCTCAGCCTCCTGAGAGCTGGGATTTCATTGCTAGCACACTCGGCTTAATGGGTGTCTTGAGACCATAATGTTAGGTGACATAAATCAGACACACAGCTTCAGTGCAGCACGGCTTCTCTTATATGAGAAACTCAAACTGTACAGAGCAAAATAAAAGACATAATGGGGAGAGTTTTTGCAAATGGGAAGGGGACCAAGCGGTGGAAGGGTGAGAAAGGAGGGGAGAGGGCTGAGACTCAAGATATGCTGTATACCTGTCCCAACTCCCCACAAGGAATGTGACCATTATGTAATATAAAAGTGGACTAATGAAAAATCAGCAGTTTAAAACAATAGCAATTTAAAAAATAGCTGCTTCAGGCCTTGGGGGTGCAGCCCTGTGGCAGAGTGCTCTCTTAACACACACGAGGCCTTGGGTTTGATCCCCAGCCCTGCAAAAAGAAAAGTAAGAGCTGCTTTGATAACGTTACATGATACATAATGTTATACAGCACGTTTGATCTATTCAGCATTCTCAGATTTTTTTTTTTTCCTGCAGCTGGAACCTTGAACAAGGGAGATCATTGTGGGCTGAAAGCTGGAAGAAGAGTTTACTCAGTTTACACCTGTAAGGGCCGGGGAGATGGCTCAGTAGAATAAGCTCTTCCCTGGCAAGCGCAAGGGCCTGAGTTCAATCCCCGGTTCCGCAAAAAAAAAAAAAAAAAATTGCACCTATAGAATTAATGACATACACATCTCTGTTAAGTTTCACCTTTAAGTTTAATTCTTCTAACTTGTTATCTTGGCACTACATCCCATTTTTGTGTCATCTCAGGATCTTTATACACAGTTTTACTTCATGCCACTTTAGGAAGGTTGAAGGGGCAGAGGTCCAAGGTGTGGCCACAAGAGAGTTCTTTTGAGCTCTGCGTGTGTTCAGCCTCAAATTGAACATATTAGGCCCAAATCCATCATCTTGTCTAGGGATGACCATCGAAGGTGAGTGTAGTTTGGGTTTGGCTGGCCAAGTGGAAGATGAAATATTTTAAGGGAGCTCAGAAATTTAGAAGACTCAGTGCTAAGCAGGAGGGGCTTGGTAATGACAGACTTACAGAAACCAATGTAAGGAACAGTTTTCTTTTTGCCCTTCCTCTTTCCCTTCCCCCTCCCTTTCTGCCTACCTACTTTTGATGTTGGGGACCAAAGCCAGGACCTCCCATATGCTAGGCAAGTGTCCTACCACGAAGTGACATCCTGGGTCACGAGTGGCTTTCTTACCGACTGAGCTTTCCATTCTCCCAAGCTAAAGTCCACAGCAGGCAGCAGAATGGGTGTGGACAAAGGCTTAACTTCTGGGCACTGGCTCTGTTGAGAAAGATGGGTGGGGGGAGAAGGAAGCTGAAATAGAGGGTATGGAAGACAGGTAGCTGGGACTGTCTCCCGTGAACACTATGTCCAGACTACAGCTAAGAAAAGATCTAGGGCTGGGCCAGTGAGATAGCTCAGTGGAATAGTGCCTGTTTAGGCAGGTGCAGGGACTGGGGTTTGATCCCCAGCACCACATGCTGTACTGGCTCTGCCCCCGGGAGCATTGAGCCAGCTGCCAAGATGAGGCATGGTGGTTCACACCTGTAATCCCAATGCTGGGGAGGCTAAGACAGGAGGATCATCACAAGTCCAAGCTGTGTAGTGAGAGCCGGTACCAAATACATAAATAAAAATAAAATTAAAGAGATCCAGTGCTGATCATAGTCCTTGGCAGAAACTGATCACTAGTAGGCAGAAGTCATTATTTTGGTGCAGGGATTGAATTCAGGCTGGTGTACATGCTAGGCAAGCGCTCTGCCACTGAGGTACACACCTAACCTCCAACTTTTTTTCCTTTATTTTCTCTTTTGATACAAAGCTTTGCTCAGCTCTCCAGGCTAGGCTCAAGCTGACTGTCTCCTGCTTCAGCTTCCTGAGCAGCTGAGGTTATAGGCGGGAGCCACCATGCCCAGCTGACTGTGGTCTCACAAAGACAACAGTGGAGGAATACTCACTGCTTGGGATTATGAGAAGATGGCTCTGAGGGCAGCTTACTAGCTAAGTGGACAGGAGGGCCAGTGTGTGGAAGTCTTACCAGTCTTCCATGAAGGACATGAGAGTCACGAAGCAGTTTATTTAGGAGCCGGGGGTCACAGGCAGGTGGAGCTGGGCTGGACAGAGTTAGTCTTGCAGTAAGGAGAAGAAGGACCACCAGGAGCAATTCTTAGCCGAGGTTGAAAGGGGTGGGTGTGTGAGGAAGAAATCACTGTCAGGTGGGGTCCAGGATTTCCCATTTAGGACCCAGACCTGAACTCAGAGGCTCTACTGGTCAGACATCTTATCCCCAGAGTGGATTCTCCCTGCCCCCACCCTGTAATCTTATTTTCTCTCCCCTGCTAAGTTCCAATCTGGCCCTCATCCCTCGAGTGCGTTCGTACCAGTCAGCTCCATTCTGGCTGGGGTGTCTGGCTGGAGCGGATCCCTGTTTGGGACCTCTCCCCTGAGTCCTTCCTGGGGCCATGGAGGCGGCTTGGGCTTTTGCACTTCTGGGCGGAGTGGGGTGGTGCACAGGTGGGCCGAGGCTGAGGGTCTGGAATCTGTCCTGTAAGTGACAGGAAGATGGCCATTTCATCAAGTTTTAAGAAAAAGACCGCCTGGCTGGGGTGGGGCAGGGACAGATGCTGGAGGGCCTGGCCAGCTTTGACTGTCCTCATGTTCTTCTGGGATTGCAGCATATGGTGTGGTCTCTCTGTCAGTGACTCTGATGTAGTTTGGTGCCAACCCCCAGCCCCCACCTGCTGAGAGCAGCAGGATGAGATACGCACACACATGGCTTAATTGGCTTCAAATCCTGAGCAAGCTTGCTTGTGAGGTCTGAGAATCTGGGATGGGGACACGGAAGGGGAGAATTGTGGTGCAAATCTGGAGAAGTGTGGCCAAGAGGAAGTAGCGAATATGCATAATGTCTTGAGGGGCAGCTGAGCAAAGATACAACTTCGACCACCAGAAGGCGAGGATTAAAAGCTGGTGCAAGACTTGAGCTCATTCCCTGCCTGTCTACCCCACACATAAAGCCTCCTGGAGTTTTTCTTTGCATTCCACATTCTGAAAAACCAAGATAGGCTAACAGTCCTGGGACTTTCTTCCTGAGGCAAGAGGCCTTGGGATGGGCACCTGCTGAGCAAGAAGATGCCCATATTTTGTGCCTTACTTGACCGGAGACAGTAGCCAAGGTAGCCATCTCCTAGCTGCACCTGCCTCTCTGCCCCCTCAGCAGACCCCTTCCGGTTCCCTCACAGGACCCCCCACATGGCTTCCTCCTCCTTTCGCAACTTGCCCAAAGAGGTCTGCACCTGATTCAATATTAGGATTTCCTGTAGGTCTGTCAACATGCACAAGCCCTCCTCCCCTTACCCCCTTTCTGGTGCCCTGGTTTGCCTGATCCAGCTTCCTCAGCCTTAGGATTGAGAACCTTAAGCTAAGAAGGTGTGCCAGGTAAGAATGGAGATTGCAGCTCTATCCATCTTGGTGCTGGGTTCTCTAACCATACAGGTACCTCCTTTTTATTTTTTTCCCTGGGCCCAGGTCTCCTTTCCCTAGAGCCAGCCAGGACGGTGCTGTCTTCCACCCCTTCTGTGATCAGTCCCTTGGAAACCAGCACCCCACCCCCTACCCCTACTCTGTCCTGCTCCTCCCATTCTGGGAAAGCTGCACTCTTCTCGACAAAGGTCAGTGCCTGTAGGTTCCAGTTGGCCTGCCCCTCCCCCAGCTAGAGCCCAATTCTTTCCTGTCCTTCCTGCTCCCTCCAATGCTGACCCAGCTTGCCACTCACCAGGTGGAGAACGGCGTAAGGGACCAGGTGCACAGTGGACAGCACTCTGGCGAGCAGATGAGTAGGGAGACATGTGGCGTTGGGGCACAGCTCTTCCACAGCAGTGGGGTCACACGTCTGACCCGGCCATGTCTGCCCAATCAGAGCAGAGAGCCACCAGACACTGGTGAAGGCCCCCGGAAGTGACGCCTTCTCCTACCCGTGCTGGGCCTGGATCCCCTGCTCTGGACCATGGTCCACTAATGAGGCCCAGCTCCTCCACCCACACACAGCACTGGACGGATTTACACAAGGGGATCCATTTTTTTTCTTCCTAGGAGCTGGAAACCTGGGACCTGCCTGGGGAAGAGATGGGAAAAGGAGCAGAGGCTTTGTCCAGCAGAGATCTGGCAGGTTATGTTTGTGCCTGGGGAAGACACGGAGGTCTCATTTTAGATTGGTGGAATTTTCAGTTCCTGGCCATCCAAGTTGCTTTTTCCTGGGCGCCACATCTGCTGTCAAAATCCAGTAGGACTTTTGCTTCCTGCTTTTCTTTCCTAGAGCCCCACCCCACCCCAAGAGACCCTCTTGTCGTTTCTCTTTTCTGCTTGGAAATCTGGGTATTGTCCGTCTTAGAGTGTGGTCTTCTCTGTGAGGGATCATGTTATAGGAAAAGGGTGCAGTCAGCTTGAGGGGCTGGAAGGTGAATGGTGTGCTGGCCCAGGTGCTTCTGCGGGGGCCAGGGACTTGCGCAACTCAGGCCACTTACCACAGTGCCCATGTGTCCCTATCTCAGAGAAGACAGCTTCTGGACCTCCCCAGGCAAACATCTCTCTGCTGGCCATGTTCTTCCTTTGGCTCTGGCTCCTTGGTCTTCCCCTCAGTCCCAGGCTCCCCACAGTCTGCCTTCAGGGGTTCCTGACCCAACCCCCGCCCTCCTTTCTCCCAGTCTCTCTGGGTCCATATCCCAAGGATGGGGCTGGCTGCAGTGCAGGATGGCCTAGATCCCGGAATTCTCCAGCTCAGCCTGACCAGATGCCTCCCGAGATTAGGAAGGAGGGTGCTGGGATAGTTGGGAGGCTGGTGGGGGTGTGGGGTGGGAGGGGAAGGGAATGTGACCAGAAAGCAGGACAAAGGAGCCTGGGGGTGGGTCGAAGAGGAAGAAGGTCCTTGGAGTGAAGGAAGAGGGTGAGGAAGTGAGGGGTGAAGGTTGAATAGGCTTGAGGACAAGTTACAGTCCACTGAAGGGGAAAGGCTGCCTGCCCCGTACTGGCCAAGTCTTGGTCCTGGGAACTCTAAGAATGCAAACATCTTCAGAAGGGATGTGGAGGCTGTGGAAGCCAGGGCCAACGGAAGAAGGGTGCTGTGGGCCCCGAGTCAGGGAGAGATTGACTGGCACCCTGAAAGACAAGTCTTCATCCTTCAGGCAGGGATCCGGCTCCTAGCCTGAGGGACCGGCCCAGGCCTCAGGCCCAACCTCTGCCCCTGCCTGGCCTGAGGATCTCATCTGAGGCCGGACACACATCTCCAGTCTACCTACCCTGCGGCTGTCTGCAGAGGGGGGCTCCCGGCCCGCCTCTCCTCCCCCTCGGTGCGCCCCCGGCCCCTCCCCTCCCCATTCCCTCCCTCCCCTCCTGCCGGGTCCCAGCCCCTCCCTCCCCTCCCCCACTCGCGATCAGGGCCGCGGCTGCTGGGCCGGACCCCCCGGGCTCAGCCCGGCCCCTCGCCGAGCCGCCGCCGCCGCCCCGTTTGCAGAGGAGGAGGCCCCCGGCCGGGGTGTCGGGCGCGGGGCATAAAACGGGCCGGAGCCGGCGCCCGGGGCACTGGAGCCGCGCACGGCCCGGGTCAGCGCCCGCCCCGCCCTGCCCGGCGCCGACTCGGACTCCACTTCGACTTCGACTCCGACTCCGACTCCTACCCCGCTGCC